GGGTAGTCTAGAGCCGACCTGGATTCCCTCAGTCTTTCCTACCGACATGCTGTGAAAAGGATACCCATGTCATGATCGACGGCGAGGGTTGCAATCTTCACCAATTGCCAAATCTAATGGACTTTACCTCACTTTGGCAACCTCTGCCATTCTCCAGCCGTATCATCTCATTCCTCCCATACCATTGTCTACAGCCTCATTATATGTCTCACTTGCCCTCACCCTTCCAAGTCAAGAACGGATCCATACAACCCTGGAGACATCACCTCATTGCAGTCTACCTTACGGCCCAGAGACGCTAACGGTGTGTTTCGACTTGGGTTACCTCTGTCATTCAGTGCTATGGGATTAACTCGGAGTACGCTCAGCTATCGTGTGCTGAGCCATTGTTAGAAATACGGGCCACTGCACTGACAATCCAGCCAGCACACCGGTATTCGGTCAACGTCCGGACTCTTCCGCGGTCTCATTCCCCAACATACCTCGATCTTTAGCGAACTAGTAGTTACTTCAACGTCATGATCTTCATGCTTTGGTTAGGTCCAGCTGGCTGTGTAAATTATTGCTTGTTCAGCTGTGCTGAAAATCCTGATGGATTTCAACAACAACCAAAACAAGAAGAGGCAACATCAGGATAGTGTCTGAGCTCATGGTCTTTACCATTGCTCGCCGACATTACCATCTTTGCAGGATTAAGAGCTTGACCCGCCCAGGCTACGGCCCTGACGACCGTATCTACTGCTTTCCGGCTCAGGCTGTGTTGCCAGTTATCCAGCCTTCACTCTGCAGACAACTTCGCCTCGCGAGGTCAAACCCATCTTCCCATTGGCCATCAGCCTTCGTGACACAGATTTGCGGCTATTGCCCGTGTTGGCAGTCGATAGGATTCCCATGGATCAGGGTTCATGACCTTTGGGGTGCCAACCCATTGGACCAACTTCGCTCAGTCTGCCAACCAACAGGGCTAATATTGGAGGTCATCCTACGCTACCTCTATCATGTAACCCATCCCACGTCTTGGGGCTAAACTGAGACATCCACGCATACGGCATCACCTGGCAAGAGCTATCAAGATCATCATGTAACAGGATACACACGACAGCCAAAGGTGCGTGAAGCAGACCATCACATGAAGGAGTCGCATTGTTATCGCAACTGGGCTACTCTTGCAGCCTAACTCCGCTCTTCTGCTTGTTTTCTGGCATCAACGAATACAGTGGGCTGTGAAGCAACATCCTGAGGCTGATATAAACAGACCAGCTCAACTTCTTATCAGTATCAATAGGTCGGACACTGACCCGTTTTGCTATTAATGCATGCACCAACTACCACTCGAGGAGTGGACATACCTACAGTCCAAACAGCAGAAGGCCAGGATACTCTTAGGTCAAAGTCAAATCAATGGATATGTTCTGAACTTCAGATATCCAGAGACAATGACAACACTTGAGTGGTGAGGCTCTTCACCGGTTAGATCACATTGTGTACTGCGGACTTCAACGCTGACAAACTAACGAGGTCTCTCATGCCCCTGTTCATCTTCTCCATGAACACATGGGTACGTCCGGATGTGTGCTCCTGGATACCGGGGAGCAACATTGACCCACCCCTTTCGACAACACCCTCAGTTCAGATTCCCATTGGTTCTTCGTTCCAATACATTGTCTCTGGCATGACATCCGGTAAGCATGGAGAAGAACTCCATGTGTGCTTGGATTTAGACTCCATCGAGATTCGTTTGCTGCCCGAGAGGAACAGTTCGCTGTTCATCGTTCGTGACGCTGTCCCCGCTTCCGGATATGGTAGCGGTCGACGTCACTGGTTGAGTGATATCAGCCCTTGAGTCTATCCTTTTCCCATCTGGTAAGTAACTCCATCGTGTCGTTCAGCTTGTCATGTTGATGGCGCTCTCTCAACATACATTTGTGGGAAAACACTATGCTGGCTCACGGGGTATGATAGCCGAACCTTCGGATAGGGGAAAGACACACCCGCACAAGATCCTCTCATAAACTAGGAAGGTCTTAGCCTTGGAGGTCAAGTCGTCTTCCAGGAGTATTTAAGATAGTCTAGATGCCCTCTTTTATGATATCAAGCCGGACACAAATTCCTGATCATCACATCACGCCATTACCATTGTCTTATTCACCATGAGCCGTCTCAATCTTCTCAACCGCCTTTCCAAGAAAGGACGAGAACGTCATGCTGTTAATACAACAAGCGATAGCACTAGACCATCAGAGGAGGATAAAGCATCATCCGAATACTCGGCTCTGACCTCTATCCACTGTAAGGAGACACTAAACCTTGTTGCCTTTTCCCTTGTTCTTCTTTTTCACTCGCCCTCATATGCCAGGAATTATGCACTGTACTTGAGCTAACATGTAACCTACAGTCCCTTTTTCAAGTACTAAGCGTCTCACTTTGGCTGAGTCGCCCTATGACAAGCCAGTGGAAATGATACGCAAGGAAGAGTATTCTCATATGAACAATGGTAATTCCTTCCTCTCTTCATCCGTTTGCTCCATCTCTATCCCGCCTGCTCGTTCTCGGCTACAGCCTAACAATGAATAGGCATCTACCTCGACCACAGCGGCACAACCATCTACGCCCAATCGACCGTCAGGCGCTTCGCTCATAAGATGAGCACCAACCTCTACGGCAACCCCCACTCCGCCAACGAGCCCGCCAAGTTCTCTGGCGACATGGTCGACTCGGTACGCGAACAGACCCTCCGCTTCCTCGGCGCCGACCCGCGCCACTTCGACCTCGTCTTCGTTGCCAATGCCACCGCGGCCATCAAGTTAGTGGCCGACTCCTTCCGCGACCTCGCTGAGCAGACCCGCACCGGCTCCTTCTGGTACGGCTACCATCGCGACGCACACACCAGCCTTGTCGGCGTGCGCGAGTTGACCAAGGGGCCGCACAGCCACAAGTGTTTTGAGAGTGACGCCGAAGTCGAAGAGTGGATCGAGGGGAGAAATACCTTTGGCCAACCATCCGGCAGCCTTGCTCTCTTTGCCTACCCCGGGCAGAGCAACCTTACAGGACGCAGACTCCCTCTCGCCTGGGCGGGCAGGATCCGGCACGACAGGACGAAGAGGCTACGCAACACGTACACCCTTCTGGATGCTGCCGCGCTGGCCATGACCAGTCCCATGTCATACGTTTTCGAAGATCCCGATACTGCACCGGACTTTACTTGTGTGTCGTTCTACAAGGTTTTTGGTTTTCCAGATGTGGGCGGCTTGATCGTCCGTAAGGACTCCGGCCACATCCTCGCACTGAGGAAGTACTTTGGCGGAGGCACCGTCAGTTTGGTCAGTACAATTGGAGGAGCGTGGCATCTGAGCAAAGGGCTAGAAACCAACAACACCCATGAGGTTGGCGACGAGCAGCACGCCGGCGGCTTACACGAGGGTCTGGAAGACGGAACTCTACCCTTTCACAGCATCCTAGCCTTGGGAGAGGCAATCGATGTTCACAAGGAATTGTTCGGGAGTATGGAGAACATCTCTGCTCATACGTCTTCGTTGGTCAGGAGGCTGTATCAAGGGATGAAAGGGATGCGATATGAGAATGGTCAAGTGCTCTGCAAAGTCTATCACTCTGGGGACGAAGACCTTTGGGAAAACGGGAAGGGTGACGAAGTGTATGGTGATGCGAGGGTGCAGGGCGCTACGGTGGCGTTTAACGTGTTTAGGGAGGACGGGACATATGAGAGTTATGCGACGGTGGAGAAGATGGCGAATGATAGGGGGATTTATGTGAGATCTGGTGGTGAGTTGGCCTTTACTTGCTCCTGGTTCTTCTCACCTGATGAGATATACTGACGCCGTATGTCTACATTTCTAGGCGTGTGCAACCCTGGAGGAGTATTCACAGCTCTTCAGTATGAGCCGTGGCAGTTGAACCGGGCCAAGTCCGCTGGTCATCATTGTGGTTCTAATGGTTTGAGCGTCATCAATGAGCTTCCCACGGGGTAAGTTCATTCTTTCATTCTTTCCCTCTTCCCCTCTTTCCTTTTCTCACCCTAAGCTCTCCCTGCACCCTACGCCGCATCAAACTCACATCCCCTTTTCTCCCTCCAATAGCATCGTCCGCGCAAGCCTAGGCGCAATGAGCACCACCCAAGATGTCGACGTCTTCCTCGCCTTCCTCAGGGAAAACTTTCTTCTCGAGAAAGGCCTTCTTCCCGCAAAGAAGAAGGCCAATGCCAATGTCAAGGTCAAAAGACAAAATCATTTGCTCGACACTATCTCTTCAGCAGCAGTAGCCGCTGTCTCCATGACTACTGTGACCGCCGCGAGGGGGGACCGGACTGTGACAGGAACAGGAACACAAAACACAGTCATTTTGCCGCCGAGTCCAACTCCTACTACCTTTGGGGAAGAAGGAGTACCAGTAGTGGTGATGAAGCCAAAGATTCTGGAGAGAATTGGGAGTGCTATTTCCGTCTGAGGGGAAAGAACGTTCGATTGAGATGAACGGTAATGGTATTTTTTTATATTTTTTTTTATATTTTTC